CAACCACACACGTAATATACTTTACTTTATTCTTTACTTTATTCCCCCTGTCTTCAAAAGAGAGATGGGANCCATCTCACTNCGTGTTGTCTTCTTCATCATCAGAACTGTATTCTGTCACATGGATCTTATGGCCTGGAATGTACCTCTTGGTTCTAGATTTCTTCCTTTCTACTCGGTATATCGGATGGTCAGGATGAGATCTTGGCCACGCGTATTGATCATGGAAGCCGAGTAGGATTTGTCTTATCTCTTCAACGAAATCTTTCGGATAGAGATCCGTGTTCTTGCTGTATAAGGACAGAAAAGATTGGGGTCCAGTTGAGATTCTTCGAGATAATTGAGTGCTGCCAGACCACGTGTCCTTGCATGAAAATGATCTCCATTAAATGCGCTGTCATTGTAGCTTGTCTGGATATGGGCTTCATAAGTCTTTTGGATAAGTATCCCATCTTCTGTCTGGACTTGATGAGTGATTATCCTAAACGTGGCAAAGATTTTAAATCCATGCTGAGCTCGAATATTCTCCTGCCACCACGTCACATCTTTGAATAGAGTGAGCCACTTGTAAAGNTGCTTGTAGTGCGGTTTCTTNCTTGTCATGATGCACTTTGCCAAATACTGGAGCATGTGACACTTGTTGAATAATACTCCAATGGTGTAAAGATCCGACAAAGACCAAAGTAGGAGATAGGCTTCTTTTGGAAAGTTCTCGTAGTGACATGGATTCATCTCAATGGTTGTGAGGAAAAGATATGTCGGATGATAAGGTATTCCTAATAGTGGACCAAGGTCTAGGCCATACCTATAGATGTAGAGNCTCAGAAAGCCGTGAAGGGTTTCCATTCCTCTGGAGACCAAAACAGTGTCTAGCATCTTTTCTTGTAGACCTTGTGGCATTGTTGCAATCATGTTCTTCAAAGACTCCTCTGTTGGATGTTCAGGGCTCAAGGTGTAGATCATTGGGATGATCGCTGAAATTTGTTTCTGAGTTCTGGATAAAAAATCCGGGAGGAAGTTGTCTTTCCCCTTGATGTGNTTTACATCAAACTTCCATTGTGAAAACCAGCTTGCCCA